CCTCAACTCTTGTATTTCATTCGCCAAACAGATGAATCCCGCTTAAAATTATCACCATACTTCATACATATAATAATGTTTCCAGTCTAGCTGAGATTAAAAGTTATATCCTGACTGCGAAAACTCTGTTCATTGTGAACAACTACAATTCACACTCAAGTTATTTTGCGTACATAGATTAGTGATGGGTGTTTAGAATTAATACATGTTAATAAGGATATTACGAGCCTAACCTAAATAATTGTTCACTTTATGTAGTGATAACGTTTGAAATGTGTCTCGAAAGAATTATTGTCATTTTTATTCTTCCTAAATATAAAGTATTTTAAGAGACTTGAGTTTTCCTTAATTATCTGAGTAAATACACGTGTAGTTTGAACTAAAAGCACTAACAAAGCCTAATACAAGCTTCAAAGCATAAGACAACAATCGGTAGATTTTCTCTCTGTTTAGAACAATTTAGGCACAACATCTTTTAAATATTATATATGCTAAATAATCAGCAGATTTACTAATTGTCTAGACATAATAAGTGAAATGGAAATTAATTTTTATCACAATCTAGTATAATTGGCAGGGACTTGTATAGAGAGTGAAAACATTCAACCAGCAGTTATTTGAAATCAGAAAAAAATAATGCGTGTTTTGGAGTCATAAAATATTATAATTTTTAGTCACTCACAGTGTTTATTTACATCAATGAAACCATTTATTTGTAATTTCGTTATTCGTATTATTATTCTATTCTATACAGTAAACTAGACAATTACAAGTTATTTTATACTGAAAAACCATAGCTATAAACTAAAATATGTGATCATAAATACTAAAACCTTGGCTATCAATTATATCAGTCATATTAATGTGTGTAGTTAAAATAAAGAAAATTTTCTAGTCTAACTCGTTTAGCCTTATGACATAATTGAAAATTTCCCCATTTATCATCTCATTAACAGCTGAAGTTTTGAATTATTCATAAAATTTGGATTTTTTAAATCAGATATTTAGTTATATCATACTGAATCCGTCAGGGAGCACCAGTTCCCTCAAGATTACAGGTAAACCTTGCTGACGAGTGCCAAATAGAACGAAACCCGGGTCCAGGGTTTCCTGCTGACCACCTCCAACCACCATCTTATCTCAACATAGTACACACAGTGTCCAGACACCTAGACTAGTGGCCACATTACAACTTGATCGATAGCATTCGATTAGCACTGGAACAGACTTGACACGCATGACACTGATCACCACCCAGTGATCAATCAATTGTGATTATATCATACTTCATTGTTTTCTAGGAGAAATGTGAGCAAAGTGTAGATAACGTGAAAGAGTAAAATGTTGTTTAACATTTTGTTTACCTTACAGTTAACTAGGATTCTACAGAACAATAAACTGAACAGTGATCAACAGATCTTTTTCAATATAAAGACGATTCAAACAAATTGTTTAGTGATACATTCAACCAAACTGTATTTTAGGTATCTATCTAAGTAATGTGGTTATCATTCTATCTAAATTCACTATCCCGTGAACGTATTTGGATTTGTTGTTTCCAATTTACTTTATTCTATATGTAAAAACTATTTTTAAATAATTTTAATAATTTACCACATCTGTCATCAGTTTATCTCACAATCGTCATGGTAAAATTGGTATTCCGGTTTTGAATGGATTCTGATTTATTTTGGTACACTATTTGGTTTTAATCCTGGCCTTTAGGCAAAATAGTCGTTTTTCGATATTACTTTATATGTCTTATCTCTTCTTGAACTCTAACTAATGCTATTTATCATTCAAGTACTAATTGGCTTTAAGATTTTGAAAAACAACTCACATGAATTCACTTGGCATGATTTTTGTTCTGGTTAGTATTAATTAACTGAAAATAACCAAACAAATTTAATAATTTACGCTTTCTCTGATGTTGAACTATTTAACATTAAATGGTTGTTTAAGTTAATCATTACATCATTCACATGATTTTATACCGGTAAGGATCAGCTGAGAAAACTCCGGTCATTTATTAAAATATCGAAAAGGCAACTTTATTTACTTGAAATATCAAAGTTATAGGAGTAATATAAATGAACACAACAATCTCTTTTCTATATATCACAAAGTCATTAGGTCTTTAAGAAAATACCCGTGTCTTATAAAAAATAGGGTTGGTTCAACCAGATGAAAGCGAATTAGATATTTAAACTTATTTAATTCCACAGGATACTTATAGAGTAAAAATCATCCGAATTTTTATTTCGAGTACAATAAACATATGGAAATCAGTAAATTTAACAAGCTTTATTTCATAAATGTCTAGATAATCATTGAAAACCAGGGAGTTTTGGTTATCTTTCTCAGTATAATTTACGACTTTTCATAATTGCATACTAAAATTAAATTTAAGATCTTCCCATATCCTGAAGCTCCTCGATTTTCAACTATTCTAAATCTAATATCAATAAATGATAAAACTGTTTTTCAAAATGGACTGATAAGAAATTAAAATTTCTTTTATATCAGTGAAACGAAATTCACTGACTACACTGACTATATTATGAATTGGCATTTGTACCTTCTTAGTATTTTTTTATGGATTATATATGGATAGATATAAATTCCTATAATGTACGTTTTTATTTCGTTGGTTTTTGTGACTTTAAAAACATTATACTCTCATTTTAATAGTTTGATAAATCATTTCTTGAAAAAATAACTCTGACTTGCCAGATATTTTGATATTTTAATCAATTCTAAATACTTGTACATTCAAGTTAACATTTTATGGTTAACGTTTACACTCTATGTAAAGTATACATCAAAATGGGTCATAATTAAACATGATCATCTATTTAGATATGACTTTATCCAATGATTAAAGGTCACTAATACATAATATTTTGACATGATTGTTGTTACTATGATAAAGTTATAAATGATTGATTCGTCTATAACGGACACTAGTCGTTTTCATGTTATTTAAATTGCTAATTTATGGTGATTAATATTAGTTTGGTTATATATCAGTGCAACTACACCATTAACTCTTCTGGAATGATCGCCGATCCCAAGCCCGGATATATGAGGAGGGTTGGGCATGCGGTCGGCAACCCCATGCCGTAGAAAAAACCTTGCTAAAAAAACGCTAACCAAATATTAATACATTGTTCAAACTTTTATCTTTCATTTGTGAAATTCTTCCTAATCCAGAGTTGCTTTGTTTAAAGCAGTAAAGTTATAAGTTTTGGTAACCGCCATACTAATCAAAATTACCATAACAAAAGGTTTAAAATATACTTCAGTACTGGCTTAGATACTTTTATCTCATATCTTCCAAGAATAACTTTGAAGGTAGGTAAATGTAATTTATATACATAGCACTAATATACACAATATTTTGAGATACTTTCTCTTTACATAGATAAATGAATATGTAAAATATTTTAAATTTGACACCAACTTCAGTTCATTAAAACAGTGACAACACTGAATGTAACTGTTAAGGATTACATAGTGAAGTATTAATTTGAATCTAACAGCCAAATGCATTTTTCTGTACAGTTTTGGATCTTTCAGTAATGTGCATTTACAATTTACACTCGATGAAAACTAGGACCTGCCTGTTTTACAGTGACCGGGATATCTAATGGTCACTGAATCATTATCACGTAGTTGGTAGTGTTGGTTGATATATTAAGCCCATATACCTTATTTTAGCTACTGGACAAGCCAATTTACCCATCCATCTTGAGTCATGTTTTGACCTTTTTAACTATTCATTTATTAACCGTGACTATTTTTTATATGAGCTTATGTGAGTACACTTTTTATCTCATTTATCACATGTCTGTAACTTCTTATCTGACTGTAAATATTGATTAACGCTTGATTAAAGTGAGTTGGCTAACTTGCCATCTCCAATGCGTGCCATTTTTGTCTCACCCGCTGATATTTGCTCATGTGCCTATAGCTTTCTCGCTTGTGTTATTTGACAATAAACTGCAGTTGCTGCTTCTCTTTGCCTTCTGATTTAATGCACCGTTAAGATTGGAATTATAACGGTTATCAAGGTGAACGATTAACGAAGCATGGCACTACAGGTTCTTATTTGCAAGTTTAGTAGATTTTTGTTATGAAATTTGAGGTAATTTCTTAAACTTTTGTTTGAAAATATCACGCTTTCAAATAATTCGTACATTCATACTTTATTCAGTATAATGGTCTTTTATTGAGATCATGAACCGATCAATGTAATACCACCATTGAAAACCTGGAATCACTGAATAGTCGCTTCGTCCTAGTATAAGATTCCTCAAGAGTCTGCATCTAAGACCCCGCATATGGGACTCCAACGCAGGATCTATAGTCTCGCGCTCTAACGCTTAACATCTAGACCACTGAGCCGGTGCCCAATGGTGTTGTGCGTTCGTACGAGACCGAAGGTCCTGAGTTTGATTCCCGTTTGTGGGATCGTGGATGCACACTTTTGAGGAGTCTCATACTAGGACAAAACGACCATCAAGTGCTTCCAGCTTTTCAATGGTGGTCTAGCATTGATAGGTTTATGATCTCAAATAAAAGCTCAATAATCTCCACAATCCTATACTGGTAATTATCTTTATCATTGGATAAATATTTGCTGTTTCACAATGGTGTGTTATAAGATTAAAATTTTCATGACTGTAATTATGACCATAATCAATATCATTTCCGAGTTATTTCAACGATATTTTAAAAGTTTGTACAATGATGAGTTGGGTTCAATTGTAAGATCGACTCCACAAAATATATTTTACTCTTAGATATTTCTTAAAGACATTCATTTTCATCACAGAAGTTCAGCGATTATCATGTCTACAGACAATTGGATCTAATTATATCTACTAATTACCAAATGAAAAATTACTAATTAAATCTCATGTACAAAAAATATGCATAAAAACATACATCATAAATAAAAATATAAAGAAAGAGTTCGGAATAAAATTCCCACTAACCATTATTTTACCAGCTGGATATGAGACTGTAGTAAATCGTTCACAATATAATTTCATATTCAATTGTTGTCTAGCTGACATACCTAAACGAGTATACTTAAACCAATTAACAAACCAATTGCAACGATTTGATTCTTCCCAATAAGATGGAGTTGAATTTTCCGAAAGTAATATATGATTATTTGTTGGTTTTACAGTGAAAAAATCATTGATATATGTTGTATCACTTTGTGTTTCCAAACAGGATGGAGATGATTGTAAATCAGATAAAGGTGTTTTTGACGAATTCACGCTATTACTCTTGTGTAATAACGGTTTATGTGGTTGTTGTTCTTGTTCTTCCTGTTGTTGTTGTTGATGATGGTGGTGGTGGTGAGGCAGATGTATATCATTAATCTTAATTATCGGTAATGTTGATATATCAGGTTTTTTACTATTGATTGTTTTAATGCGACGTAATTTCTTATTACAACTTATTAAATATCTACTTGGTGAACAGTTTTTATGCATTGAATCAATATTTTCTTCAGATTCAGTAAATTCATCAAATTCTTGATCGTCTTTATGATCGGCAAATAAACCTGGATAATCGTCTGTTAAATCATCGTTTGTACTCTGTAGACTTAAAGTACGTTGATTATCGATGGATAAAGGTGATAATTGTTTATATTGTATAAATTGTCGTGATGATCTAATTTTAAGACGTTTATGTCGTGAATAAATTTTGTATAGCCAACGAAATATACCTATGAATATTGTGATCAATACAATGGAACATGATAGGGCTAATGGTAACCACCATGGAAATGGATCACGTATACATGGCATTTCAATAAGTTAGCATGTAATACTAATCGCTGAGGTAACTAGATGATAATTGAACAAATTTTTAGAATAGCCACTATTATAACATAATTCAGTGATCAAATAGTGTTTAGTTCCTTTCTTTACTCTCATACTTAATTATTATTATTATTCTCTGTTAAAATGTATGATTTTCTAAATTAATGAAATAGTACATTTCATTTAATATATGATAATTTGATTACTTTAAGATGATTGGTTAATATCAATAAAAATGTAGTAGGTTACTTGACTACTATGCTGTCTATCTCCACCCTATTTATCGAACACGAGTGAAACTTAAGTAGGTTAGGCTTTTGTAAAAAAAATTTTAATGAATAGTTAATAATGGTTGGTACAAACATTCGTATATTTTGTTCGGTTAGGTGAACTGTAGTTCAACTTAAGGATAGTTTCTGTCAGAGACCGATGTCAATTCGAGAAATAAGAGAATCAGATGCAGTCTGTCCTCCTCAGCAGTTGACACCCAAAACCCTACATAGAACTGGACTGAATATCTTCACTTAAACAATCAAAAATTTACCATAAGAAATATCTTTTTGAATATCAACCTCGAAAGTTGGGATTAAAAACCTTGAATCTAAATGTAGAGATCATTTACATCTAAATTCATGCATTTCATCGAAGCCATGAGAGCAGAATAATTCTATACATATTTCTCAGGATTACTGTTGAGTTAGCATCACTTAAATAAATAAAACTTTATAATGTAAATCTAAAGTTTAGTAAATGGAATTCAAGACAATCAAGACTAGGAATACACAAAAACTAAATTATTTGATCGTTTTATTATATATCAAAGATAACTGATTGACAGATGCATATTCGATATCTGAAATCTGTGAAACTTCCATTTGAATATGAAACCGATAGATATCCCCAAAATGGCCATCAGGCTTCACCTTGTTCTCTGATGCGGTATTGTAAGCTAATAGCCATTCAGTTTTTTTTCCGGCGAAACTTGTACTCCTTTGATAACAATGCTTCATTGAGTGATGTGCAGTTTGTAGATGGGGCACCGGTGAATTGGACATTTCAGATCACTGATCACAGATCACTCAAACTAGCTAGTGGGGATTCAAATGACTTAGTATATACAAAGAGAATGGATATCCAAGAATAAATCTTGTGTTGATTTTCATCATATTTCCAAATCCGTCTATTCTAATGCTATTCTACGTCAGAGATGTTTTTTAAAATAAATTTATCGGCAGCAAACTTCTCGAAAAAAGCCTAACCACCATCTTTTGTGTAATATGAGACTTAAAAAAATAGTTTCGTTTTCTGAGAGTGTAAAATAGTCAATAATAACAGTTAACTTATCATTTTGATAGTTACACAGTTGTTTTCCTTCAAATAATATGAAAATGTATACATATGTCAAAATGTTCAGTTGTTCACACTCCTATTTATTTATTTACATATCTATTATCAAGTTCACTTGTTTAAAAATCCGTTGACAGTTATGTTCGTTAACCAGGAGGACAAATAGTGAAAACATGTGCATTGTATTCACGTAAGTTGGAATAAACTAAATACGAATTATTAAAAATACCCATTAATAACTGGGTTACTTTAACACAAGTTTTTATGAGTTGTTCTTACATAAACCTACTAACCGACTCCATAACCAATGAACGACAAACAAACCATGAGTGTGAATTACCCGTTTGACTTCATAATTTCTACTTAAACAAAACCCATTTGGTCGGTGGAGGTAATAAAAACTAGATATGAATGAAGGTGTATGAATTTATTTCTGACACTCGTTTATGTAGAGCGACAGTTAGATGTGGAACTTGTAGAAAGGCATCTCAGCTTACTCAATTTGATTAAAACGTGACAACATTTATAGACACTGACAAATACAAGCAAACATATCGACACATGTGCACGATTATACACAAATATTCGTTTTTATTAAAAAAAAGTGAGAAGATTAGAGTAGTTCATTTGTCCAAAAGGAAGGATAAATCATTTAGGCATGTAACAATGCTTGTTGCTACAACTTGGGCTGGTTAATTGTTTATATTAAATTTCTGTATGAAATTACAATAATGAGTACATACCAGATACATAAAACATTGTTCTGATTATAATATCTGTCAACTGAATATGTTATGCCTATTATTGAAAGATCTCAGAGCAGAAAGACACAAACACAATGTATTCTTGGTTATTCAGTGCCGACTTGTGCTGCGAAGTACGTTGATATATATTTCCATATTTTTAGAAGGATTCATCTTTTTAGGTGTCCATTCTAGTTATTCATTTGCTTTTAGTTATTCATCATTAAGGACACTATAGATCTACTTATGCCCTCGAAATCGATTGGCACAAATTCATTATTTTGACGTGATTCCATTCGATCTCATGAATACTAAATTCTTAGTGTTTCTGCATATGTACCTGTGCAATCGCTATTGCATATGCTTTTGGAAGATGTGTAAACTCTACTCATAAGTCAATGTCAGTTATTCCTACTCTCATTTTAAAATTCCTGTCCTTGGATTATCTGAAATCCCACTTATTCTAGGTTATTTCATTAGAAAGAACTCGATACCGTCAACATTTTATGGAATTATTTCAAACTGTTTTCAACTGCTAAATATAAACTGAAAGTAATGAGATATGTGTAAAGTATGGGGTTCCTCTTCAATTCCACTTATGTTATTAGATTATTCAGATTATGCACTGTTACTATACTTGCCGCATACACTGGAAGTTTAAACTACGAAACTACACCACAGAGATAATTCAATATATATCTTACAAAAAAGTTAATCACTCTACTACGAATTCACGATTGCATGTAACAAAATTTGACATGGTTATTAAACCAACTGTCCAGTGGAAGTTCTCAATTGAGTTTTTCCCTGAATTTAATACTAATTACGAGTTAGATCTAACAGCATCAATGAAACCAATTTGATACAATTATAATATTATGACCCCTCTTACATTTGGCATACTGTTCGATTATTTTAACAAAACAAGTTTAAATCTACTTAGTATGCAGTTTCTACTTAATAAGATTGTAGATGATCAATCATCATGCTTATTTATGAAAGAAAGCCAACCGACTGTATTAAATAACTGATACATCAGTTAATTCAGAACACTTAATCAGACTCGTCAGTTTTTTGCGAATATGACAAGTTAATTTAACTCTCATTTTGATCAATATTAGTAGCTGATTGCCTAAAATGAATAAGTTGTTTTATATTCCTTTGAGCTACTTACTTTTTATTATTTACAAAATTACTAACGTTCTTGGTTAATCAGAGATTAACAACATATCTTAATAAAGTAAACAACTGAACAAATGATATGCACAATCATGTGTGACATAAAGTATGAATAAATAGTAAAATTCTCCGATCGATTTTTGGTAATATTCGTTTGTTAAGATTGTTTACACTACATCGTCAAATATACATAATTAATTTGACCAAATGTTCAACGTGAAAATCCCTCGAACGGTTATATTTCATCGATGTTATAAAAGCTGGAAAATCTCCTTAAGTTAATATTGATCTGTTTACAAAGATAAGTTATAACGGTCTTACAGATTTTAAATAACCTTAGATACATTGTGTATTGTATATTATTGTAAAGCCATTGAAACCCAATAGAACTTGCATGAGTTACATTTTAGATTCTGTCGCCCCACTTTTTCAAGTATCTTAACCAAACAATTTTCTAGCATCATCACATTAGTACATTACCATTCAGGTGTGTAAACAAAATCCAGCTTCCATCACTTTTTTACAAAAACAAAATATTTATAGATATGTTAATCAAACCATAAATAATAAGATAAGACGTCATGTTTCTGGAGTAATCACCTGACCAATTTCATCATACAGATGTAAATTGAAGCCTCGTTTAAATGGTCGTATACTGTCTCATCAGTGCTGTGCTTACGATATAACAACGGATAATATATCACACTTCGAAGTATGCAAAAGGTAGTATGCTGGTGGAAAAAGCTCACATTCTATTGTAGCTGTTACGTTGGCGTGATGATCGGGGTTGCTTGATGTGAGAACCCGCTCGAGTTACATTGGCCACAATATATGTTCCCTTAGCTTTAAGTGGCCCTTTATCTTACTCCAATTGGATCGTATGAATGTTATTGAAATATACATATCGGCTATACTCGTATGTAATAATCGACTTAAATCGCGTTAGTGAATCGCAGAATCAAGCCAAATATGTGAATGGATTTTGAATATGTATATTTCATGCACTCATTAATTTGAGCAGGCAATCAGAGAGACGAAACCAAGAGGGAAGAACAAAACAGATTGAAGAAGTGAAGAGAAGAGAGCGAAGCAAAATGACGCGCAGTGGAGAAGACATGTAAGCTAATTCCCTTTAATCAAGCATTAATTACACAAAAATAAGCTACAGACATGTGATGAGTAGGATAAGATGTACACACACATACCTTAGACCGAAATTGCAGTCAATCACTTACGATATTTGGAGATGATAAGGGGACGGACAGCAAGTCATTGACCCCAACGGGACAAGAACTCACTACCTTTCGGTCTAAAATCAAATGCCTCACTCATTGAGGCACTGAGTCACTTTCCGCGAGCTATTATTTATGTCTTAAGAATCCAAGTCATTTCAAACTAAGCGAGGTTCATATGCTGAATAACATGGTTTTGAATCTGTTCATATTCGTTCGTTATATATCACTCTCATTTCTTAGTTCTAACGTTTTGCTATCAGTGCAACGCTTTCAATGTTGGCTATGATTTTTACCAACCAGGCTAATTATTTACCACAATAGCGTTTTGATCAATATCCAAAAAACTTACCTGCAATCTAACCAATTGACATTTCGCGCTCCTCAGTACTTCGTTCATCAACTCTCCTAGAAATGGTCTGAAGACATGTATACTTCGGTCGTTTAGATTTACAATCCTTCTGATGCAATAATTATATATCACCCTAATTTTCTGGATTTTTAAAAACCTCTTAAATAATTACTGATTTCTGGGAGCGAAATATATTACGCTTTTGAATGGTTCTACCTAACTAGACGAAGCTTCTGTTATTAATGATTTCTGGTTATGTTTGGTGCTGATTAAAGTCGTACTTAAGCACACTAAATCCCATTTAACTGCCCATGTCTCATGAAATGGCACTCATGATAATAATTATTATTAATGGTTCTATTAAATATTATATTTTTTGGTATAATATAGAATTCTCAGTACAATGGTAAAATTGCATTCAAAATATAAAATTAAAAATGTAAAGACATCGGTCTCGTGACCTAACAAATAAAGTATTTTACTTCAGATTAGGATATCATGGATTCAAGAACCGTAAGGATCGATGGTGCTGTCACAGAGATGACTATTAGGAAGGTGTGAGGAAAGGAAGATATGAATCTTAGGAATTTATTATTCAGTGAACTTATTCATAGTTATTTTACGATATCTCTAACTGCAAACTTTTAACTCAGAGATTAAGTTAATACATTTTCGTATATCTCATATCGTTGGTTATTTGTATAAGTCACGAATCTCCTTGTTGTGTGATTTATTATTTGTGATGTGGCAATTTAAATGTACAATTACGTCAGGTGTAAATCTTATGGATACACGTAGCATGCGACTATTCATTATGGCTTCTAGTGCACTGATTAGCGGATTGCTTGTGAAGAATACAGTGTTAGTAAACTATTGTTATTAGTGTACAGCAAAAATACAAGAATGACGTTTAAGATACACGATTCAGTGATCGAAATAAACTTAGCAGTGTTCATCACGTTTCTTATGTAGTTTTCAGGAATTTGTAACCAAAAGAGGAATAAGGTGAGTAGTATGAAGATTGTTTTGGTAACTCGATTCGGTTTAATTATTGTATTGAGTAACATTAGATGTACTGGATCAGATTATTAGATTTGCTGGTTGTTTAATGCCTACAACTAGTTGAACTATATAATTTGATACAACAACTTCAAAATCGGAACATTTATTTTGAACTTTACCAGGAAAATCAATCAATTAAGCTGAGCACCAACCCTGTTAGTTCGTATTTTGGCGTTATTTAAAGTTGCTGTATTCTGAGAAAGATGGTCAGTGAGTAGCCATAGCTTCACCTTTAGACCCAATTTTGACGGATTTCTTCTTAGCAGAACTAGAAAGTGAAACCCTCAATGAGGTTGTCGACAAGCCTGTATAGTTTTTCATCCATCTTCTACGAAAGAAATTTGATTTGATCCCTCGGAAGCAGAGCAAAAAATATCCACTCAGAGGATACGATATTAGAGTTGGAGTTTATGAATAAAATACTAACAGAAATAAGTTACCCAAATTTACTAAAGCAAATGTATGCGGAAAAAACTGGGTTGGATGTATGGATCGCCCCGAAAGAAGTCCTTTTTCCTAAAGAGATAAGTGAGTGAGTATGAGCCTAGAGATGCCTCATATGATAGATTAGCGAGGGCAGTTAACAGGACATTTTCTGCAGCTGATTTCGCGTTTATATTTTCTAACTGACCACAAAAGATAAATTAAGTCTAACAGGAGTTAAGCTCAGTGGTAACGTCTCTGACTGTGAAGCTGAGTGACGCGGGATCGAATCCGCCAGGGAGCATCAGTTCCCTCAGGATTACAGGTACACCTTGCTGACGAGTGCCAAGTAGCACGAAACCCGTGTCCAGGGTTTCCTGTTGACCACCTCCAACCACCATCTTACCTCAGTACTAACAGATAATCCAACCAACGCATAAGTGGACATCCCCCAGCATGGTTTAAAAAGAGCCAAAGACTATGTGTAGCTCTATCTTGTCACACGTGGCCGATATTAGTCATATGGTAGATAAAAGCGAATAATTCCATGTGACCTACACAACATTTGTTATGTAATTTTAAGTTCATTTTGTGATTATGATTCTAAAGTCTATTTACCCAAGTTCGACCTAGTCCTGTGTTGAGCTCTTGACTAGAACTTTTATTATTCCTACCACTACTAGGATATCTGTCTCACCATTTTCATACACCCATTTAAATATTCCTGTCTATTAGAGTAAAATCTAATGATGATCTAATTGAAAACATTACTGTTCGCTTATATGTTCTACAAATCGTCAATGCAATATGTGAACTATGTGCAGAAAAGGATAATCGAAACAACATATGGTCTAGGAATGGAATTATCCATGAATATAAATTTATAAATGTATTGTAGAATTTTTGAATTACATAGCTCACATTTTTTAGAGTAATTTTGAATCTTATGAAATAAATAAATGAGAGCCATTCAAAACAAGTAGCGATTTGTAAAAAAATATTTCAGATGTTACATTTTAAACAGTAGGATAGTGAACATATTTGGGATAGAATACTTTATGTCTTTGTAATGAAAGATGTAGCTAATATAGAAAATGATTATTTGAGGAAAAACCTAAGACTATTGTTATGATAACAATAACTTTCTTACGTAACGAACTTTCAGATCTGTAAAACTAAAACTGCTGTTTATAAAGTTTTGCTTCGATTGTTACACAAGCGCATCTTAGGTCAACGGAACAGGACAGTCGATAATATAAGGACAAACAAAGTCAACAAACCCTTGAAATACAAACAAGACCATTTGAGCGATCTAATTCAATGCATTGTGAATAACTAAAAAACTCACTTCCATATAAAGTAGGCTTCAATCATATTATCAAGAACGACAATGGAAACTCTATAGTTAAACCGTTTATCTCAAAGAACTCTACAACAAAACAATCATCTATATGAACCTTAAATCAACTCCAAGATTAAATTAAACTGTACACCTTTTTTAATAGATTTATTAACAACACAGTTGTTCAGTCTGCTTATTTACAATTCAGTAGATAGACTATAGTACATTGAAGTGTACAGCAAAATATTCATTCTTATTGTGTATTATCGTTATTTTACTAGAAAAAAAGAAATGAAAGAGAAGAATAAAATACATATACAAGGAACCAAATACACTATAAGTCAGTAGTGCAGAGAACATTGATTAAACATTTGATCTATTTTTTTATTTTGAAGTCAAGTAGATTAAGTAATTTTCGGCATCACCGTGTAATTATTATTTTACATTTCTCCACCATATACAATTTATTAGGCTACAGAATAAAAAGAAGATATTGAAAGCAAAGTCAAAAATTCAAAAATAAAAAGATGCTTTAATCACTTCATTTTTACATAAATATTTGATGTACACAATATTTTTTGTGAATGTAATGAAAAATTTCCATTTTGGATTATTCTTCACTCGAGCTTACCAAATTTTAAAATTTAATAAGGTTTATTATTTAGTTGGTATGTTTCACTCCCGATTTTTATAAAATTAACCAACTTAGAATTGGACGTCAGGTGACTATAGGCAATCGACAAGAAGCACGTTCATAGTTTTTCCTACTGTTTAACAATAAACATAGTTAGCTACAATATCAAGTAATTTAGTATAGCAATCAGGACCCATATTCGATTGATAAAATTCGAGTAGCATAATATTAGCTACTATTCAACGACCAATTAATATATTTCTAGATCTGCTTATCCTAATTTTATGATTGTGTCATATAACACAGAGGATAGACGATATACTTCTGGTAGATTTAAATATTTCTCTAATCAGTCAGTCGATCTTCCAGTTTGATTAATCATCCAAAAAATTAGTGAAACTGCCAAATATGTATAATTGTTGACAACACACTGAGAATCACATCTTATTTATTTTTCGAAGTTTATAGTACAGCTTTTTTGATGTTATCAAAATAATCCAACTGAATATGGGGTAGCAAACAAGTGATCAAGAGTAGAATATCAACAACCTGAAACCATAACATCAAAATCAACAGAATACATTCAATATAAAACTTTTTGCAAGATTATCTATGTAATTATTCAGTTTTAAACTAGTAGTAAATGAAAAAAGGCAAAACAACGGTTATTCTAAATCTGTTCATGGTGCTGTATTAACATAACATTAGTGAGCTTTACAAGATAAAGTCATACTACTTATGAGTAACTAACATTATAATGTTTAATTCCCTTTTTGCATTCGGTTGGTGAATTAAATAGCTTTATTGGTTTACGTGAATTTTTTATTTCTGTAGGTCACATTGAAATAGACAGTTGTTTGTGCTCAAAAGTGACAACTTGGTACTGGTATTATTCCTCTAAAAGTAAGATTCTAACTTCTAGTTCTTTATTTATTGTAGAATCACAAAATATTCACTGACAATTGAGTAGTCTGAAGACTAAGCACTCGTCGTGAGGCCTTCAGGTCATAGATTCAGTCCTTGGCGGGGTTGTGGATGTGCGCAGTTGGACAGTTCAATAACAGGATGAAACAGTTATCCAGGTCTTATCGATTGCATAGTCCAAGTTATTCCATGATGTAAACTATACAAATCACACATTGGGTTTATGGTGTTTTTGCATAATCCGAACCACCGATAAAATGATGTCATTTTCTCTTTCAACTGAATATAGTTTGATTTCAATGAAATACCCATGCAAGGCTGTTAGTTATTGTTAAACTAAATTTAATCATCAGCCTTATAAAGAACAGAATTAAATGGATTCACATAAATTGGTTAACATTTGATTTTTTGAATAAATAGCTTACCTATTTTTCAGCTCTTATCTTTTGATGTTGATCTGAGTGAGTGTGAACTTACTGAAAATGAATCCGATATTGTACTACAACTTAATGAATTCAATGTCTGATTTAATCTTTTTAACTGATCATAATTATATTTTAGTCTATCTTTTAAACAATATTTAGATGAAGTGGTTTGGACAATTGATTCTTTATTTATTCCATAGTTATTTACATTATTATGGTGATGTTGACTGTGGTCATCCTCTGAATTGATATTTGATAAATTATGATTGTTATGTAAGGAATAGCTTGATATCGAAATATTATCAGATGAATGGATCGAATCACCTCTAGATGATGACGACATTTTACATAAAATACCTTCATTTGAGTAATATTCATAAAATGTTCTCGCTAAATTTCTGCCTAGTCGAGCATCTAAAAGATATTTTTGTTCAAAAATAAACGATGAATGAGGGTTAAGGCAATGTTTGTCAATCACAAGATAAATGAAATAAATCGTCAAGTGAAAGATTATTAAAATAAAAGATTTCATGTTAACTTGATTGGGTATTATTCGTATATGCAATTATTCTCAAATTTGCTATGAATCTTATTAGGTCAACAAAGAAACAATTGTATAAAGTTATAACATTTTGGGGTCGACAAAATTCTCCATGGCGAATGAAATTACCATTCATTATTATTACAAAACAATGTTCATCAAGAGGAAAGTCAAGTACATTTGAGAAGGTGCATCATTAATCCTAAGGAAAATGAAATAATCGAAAAACCCAATGATGCTAGATGAGTATTGCTGACTTGTCTCATAATACGATACAACACTTATTATCTGATTGTAAGGATAGGAAGCTTTATGAGAAAAGGACGAAAAATTATGTTTATAAACCATGGGTACACAAAATAATACTAGTGATCCGAACAAAGGTATAAACGGTTACCTTGGTCAGGTGGATAAAGCACATACCCACAATAACTGCCATACTTGTATTTCTTACTTCCGTAAGGCCTTAAGACAGCATGTGATCTGCCTGGATATCACTGACTTCCATTTAATCAGTTAAATCCTCATTAGACTTATCAATCTTGTATATAGATTGGTCGTTTAGAGTTTAGTGCATCTTAGTAACATAATCAATTGTTTATTAGTACAACAACTGAATCGGATAAGGCTTCATGTGTCTAGCTTATTTCATATAATACACTTTTCATACTAACACTAACTGCGTGAAGATATTACCATGTATCTACCAAACTTATTGCATTGGTAGAACAATAAGAATGGTCTAGGTAGTCACGCGGACCCCAACCAAGTAGTCTGCATCCATCAACATGGCTCACACCAGAAGTTAGCGACTTCAAGGACTGATGCCACCTTGTGATTTGCCGCCCTCAACTTTCTTCCAATCATCCCCAACACTAGTCAGCATTGCGCGTCGTGATAAACGGTGTTCAGGCATACGTAACACGTGGACCAACCATCTCAGTCGGTGAAAATTCATGACCTCGTCAACTGATTTACCACCATTTCCTAATACCCTGCGTCTAACCTCATTAATAATTACCCGGTGATTCCAGCAGATGCAAGCAATATGTCTAAGACATCTGTTATCAAATGCTAGTAACTTACATGTATCTTTTACTCTTAATGACCACGTTTCGCAGCCATAGAGTAAAACAAAATGAACTGCTGCGCAGTATACTTGTCCCTTAATTGGTAGACGGACATCTCGTCTTCGCCATAGGTGACGTAAGTTGACAAAAGCCAAACGAGATTTTTGAATCCGTACAGAGATTTCGTCAGACACTAACCTATTAGAGGTGATCAGACCTACAAGATAATTGAAGTTGTCGGCGCGCTCGACCACTTCACTCTCTATCCTTAGTTCAGGTGTTGACACAGGCTAGTCCTGAAGCAACAACCCGCATTTAAAAAGGGAGAAACGCATCCCAAACATCCTTGTATTATTGCTCAATACTAACAAAAGACTCTGCAATTTATTAAGGTTTTCACCAAACATGACTATGTCATCTGCGTATTCTGAGTCGATAAGTGGACCTCCTAGAAGGAGATCGATTCCTGTAAATTCAGTCGACGAGTGTTATTTCCAGCAATAGGTCTGTGATGAAGTTGAACAAAAATGGAAATAGTGGACAGTCTTGCCTGACACCACCTGAGGTTAAAAAATCAGGTGACAGTTCGTCATAAGCCCTCACTCGACTAGTATGTTCGAGTAAAGAGCATTCACAAGGTTTATGTACTTCTGAGGTACACATTTCAATGACAGACACTACCACAGAACTTCTCGGTCTACAGAGTCAAATGCTGCTTTTTGGTCAAGAAAAACTATCATTGTCAGACGTCGATAAGTATTACTGTGTTGAATATGCGGTCGATGCAGCCACTACCAGGCCTGAAATCAGCCTGATTTTCTCGTGTTTGCAGTTCACGAGTCTTTGTTAAGAGTCCGATAATTAGTATTTTATATGCTATATTGGTCAAACTAATCTCTCTATGGTTATCACAGGATGATTTTAATCCCTTCTTATACATTGGGACAATCAGTGATTGCAACTAGTCAGATGGGATTGCATTCAACTCCCAGATTTTAACTAAAATATTAGTCAACCTAATCGCTAAAACTGGACCACCATCCTTAAAGACCTCTGAAGCCAATCTATCTAAGCCATCTGCTCTTCATCGTTTCAGATTATTGATGGCTTTTTGAACTTCAATCAAAATCGGGGGGGGCTTACTTCAATTTTCCATTCAGACTGTTTGGGAATGGTGGGTAGTTGTAGAGTATCTGAACGTCAGCTGAACTGCTCCTTAAAGTGTCTCCCATCCAGACTGAGATCATATAAAAGTTTCGTCTTTTTCCGAGATCGTCTCACACTTGACTTCTTAATTCCATTTTCTTTTATTAGTCTGAAAAGCTGTCTGGTGTTGCCTACAGCCGCTCCCTTTTCCATCTCTTTATATGTTCAAAAAGAAACTGAAGTAAATCTTTCCTTATTGTGGTAACATTACCTTTACTTTATTACATTCTTTTCTAAAATAATTTCTTTTACTTAGATTGCATCATTATCAATCCATTCAAGGTCATATATTTATTTTCAACTGACTGATCTTAATTCATAATATCATTAATCGCCACCAGCCTATGTCCAACTGTTTCACTGAGCAATCAACTAGCTTTTTTAGCTCTGTGACCTTTAGTTGTAATCTCAATGTTCTAGAATCTTCTCCCGCACATTATGTTTGTTTGCAAAACTTCTTCCAATTGGTTAACTTTGTTGGGAACTTCTCTCCACCCTGACGATACATACTAACTTCTGATCAACTTCAATCGCACAAGTATGTTATCTCCTATCAAAATTTTGATTTTAAATAATAAGGGATTATAAGTAACTGACGAGAACCCAACGAAATAAAATAAATTCCTATTAGTCTGTTCAAATCTTTGTTCTTGCTCTCTGAAAAATGGAACTTTATGCCCGAAACATCTACAGGAAATATATATTTATTTCATATTAAAAAAATACTTATAGACAAATAAATGAATATAGTGAAAATATTATCAGAAGGGGTTTTGTGGAGATTTTAGTATTTTTATAGAGTTGAGATCATGAGTCAATTGAAGCTAGACTACCATGGAAAACCTGGTTGCTCAATTTCGTGAATCAGTTGAAGTTAGAAATTAACACCGTTGGATGCCAGCTCAGTGGTCTATCGGTTAAGGGCTTCGGCTCGAAACTGGTAGGTCCTGGGTTCGAATCCCGCGAGAGTGGGTTCGTGGACGCGCACTGCTGAGGAGTCCCATAATAGGACGAAACGGCCGTCCAGTGCTTCCAGGTTTTCCATGGTAGTCTAGCTTCAATTGACTCATGATCTCAACTCTATAGTGAAAATATGTTTAATAAGTTAAAGGATACACTTTTCTTCGGTATATGGAATCATTTCATTGGTTAACATATTTGTATAACTGTAAAATGAAACTTCTAAAGTATAACAAATAGTATGATCGTCCAGAATACCACCCAATGTGCTATAAGAAAGTAATAATTAGCAGCATATATGTATATAATCACATCTACAAGCAAATATTTTATCACCTAACTAGGAAAGCACATAGAAAATAGTTTTAACAAATCAAATTACTACGATGGAGGTATAGCACAACTATGGATTATTAATAATAGATATTCTTCTATAACAACGTCAGTTATCATCTTAAAAAATGATCCCAACAGAATCAACATACAATAAGACATGTTAGTAAATTCTCGCTGATATAACTTGTTCAATTATGTAGGAGATGAATAGACAGAAGAAAAGATTAAGTGAAGTTGGATAATCACAATAAAAGCGTAAATTTCAATTAAAGATTGCTAGTTGATTAACTAGTGAATTGCCAAGCAGTCAGTCAGTGATGGTAGTGATTGATAAACTCAATGCGAGATCTGATTACGTTTAAACAGTAGGTTTAGCAAAACTATAACCCACAGTTGTTATGAATGAGATTGGAGAAAAAATCCCAAACTTGGGGTGGCTGTTCTTTAGTAAGGTCGTTTATAGATGGTGGTAATTTCCGAAACAGTGGTTTTATGATGATTTTCGACAGTTAAAATTGTAAGTCATCTCTTGAGTCATTATATGTTGCTATATCTTTTGCTATCTTTAAATTTCAGCATAAAATATAAATTAGTTACTCAGCTTTAAGTTCCAAGTATCAATGTAGTGTTTAGATTTGTATATTGTGATGCATTGTAATCTTGTGTTTAACTACATAATCATGTGAGTTCCGCGTTTAAATAATAAATAAACCAATAAAAACTTATTCAACCTTCTACAGATCTAACTGAAGATTTGGAATTGTAGCAATGTGCGTGTACTGTCAAGGGTTTGAACACTGCCTGTAGCTCTTGTAGGGTTACTACCTGTCATCAGCCTGTATAAAAGAGGAGAGTTGGTCATAGGGTCGGCAAATCCATCCTATAGAAAACAACCTAGCTAAGAAAACGCTGACCATCAAAAGTCACTTAAACTCTGCCTTGGGAGTTGAAGAATCTTCTAACAGAATAATTATGACACCCCATGGTGAAAGGCGAGATCCTTCGAAAGTCACAAGGCCGACACCCATTCTGACAACCAGATGAACAGTTAACACAAATACCTGAAACGTTCGGATAATGCAAGAAACTGAGAGGATCAGCCAAATTGTTACGGAAATTAGGAGATAAGACTTGGAGGTGCTCGGAGTAAGTCAGAGCAATTAGACACAAACTGGACAGAAAATATTAGATTCGAAGAGGTACTGTTCTACTATAGCATGAAGAAGGAAGCGTTTTCACACACAACGAGTTGTACAGATACTGTTCAAAGCAGCATGAAAAGCACTTACAGGATTGGAATCTCATGGATCCAGGATCATCAAAACATTCTTCAAAGCGAAGAAAGAGGGGATTACATAGAATTTTATCCAGTGCATCCAACAATGAAAGCAATGAAGATGATAAGGATCGATTTCGTGCTGCTGCAATCGATCACAGATAAGTGCTTAAGAGTGGACCTGACGATGCTGATGGGAGACGTGGACGACAAAGTCGGGATGAACAACACCGAGTATGAAGATATCATGGAACGACATGGATCGGGAGAAAGAAACAAGAATGGCGATATATATATATGTGAATCAATGTGCCTTCAACAAAATGGTTATAGGTGGCATAATATTCCCTCACAAACACATACACAAGGCTAAATGGGTCTCTCATCTGATCATACCACAGAGAACAAAATCGATTATATTTGTATCAATTTAATGTCCATAAGGTCAATGGGAGACGTGAGAACCAGGAGAGGAACTGACATAATTCCAGACTACCATCTGATGGTCGCCAAGATGAAACTGAGGCTAAAGAAACACTGGACAACTGTGGAAACAGCATTATAAAGGTTCAATACAATCTTCCTTCGAAATACTGACACACTCAACGAATTTAAGTTGGGAAATATAATAAACCAGAGTGATCAGTCAAGGACAAATAAGGCAAGTCAGTCACTGGGATTCGAGAACAGTGAAATAGGTGAGCAAAGCATTTCGAAGTGCTCTTGAATAGATCAGCTCCACTGAACACACCAAACATCAGGACAGCACACACAGACCTTCCTATAGATGTCACTCCACCAACGATCGAACAAATGATCATGGCCATCAGAAAAAAAGAGTTGGGAATCAGAATCTTCAACAAACGTCAAGACAGTCCTACTGCACGGAACTGAAACTTGGAGAACTACCAGAACCACCATCAAAAATGTACGGGCATTTATAAACAATTGTCCAAGCAAAATACTCAATATCCGTTGTCCGAAAACTATCAGCAACAGTCCACTGCGGGAGAGAATAAACCAGTTTCTAGTTGGTGAAATTGAGAAAAGACCCTGGAATTGGATGGAAAGTAAATTGTGGAAATCATCAAACTGTATCACAAGGCAAGGCCCAACTTGGAGTCGTGAAGGCGAAAGAAAAACAGGCAAACCAATCAATAAATTGCGACAAAAGTTGGAGACAGACATTAAAACGATGAATCGCATTTGAAAACAGTAAATTCAGTTTGAGGTTAGATGATTAAAAGTAGTCATTTTGGATTTAAGGACCATGATTTTGTATACTCATGTCGAACAAACTCATTATTTCACTGAAACTCCAAATTTTATCGCCTATAGCTGTGATTGAAGACATCATTAATAAACTGATAAGTGACAAACAATATCGGTGAATGAAGGGAATCACAGTATCTGGTTTCTTAGATTTACAAACGTTATGAAGTTATTATGTCACGAAAAGATGAAAACATAAAACTGACTATTATGCAATCGTGCAGCTGACCGCTATATCAACATTACAAAACGTGAATCCAAATATTAAACGCAAAAGCTTTCATCAAGATGTGAATAAGTTTCACAAAACAATATCAGGAAATATAAGATTTAGGTCCAGATTAATCTAATCATTGGTTTTAATCACATTACCTGTAAAAAAACTAACAATCTAATCACATGAAATTTCTTTTTCATTTTTATTTTGTATTATTTTCTCAAGAATCGTTAAATATTATGCATTATTTTTTAGGTTTCTCACAGTTAAAATTAGTTTCTGATACTTAATTATAAGCGAATCAGATTAACAACCACAAGCAAACTCAAACAACGGGAGAAAAATTGACTGATTTATGATGTGAACAGATATCATACTACATAAAATAACTTACCGTCGACCAGTTCCAGCCTTTAATGTATCTTTATTGAAATTTGTCTGAGGTAAACTAAAGTCTTCAGCAAACTGACTTAACAAACTTGGAAATCTAGCTTGCCTTTCTGCTCGTTTTTCATCCTCATATATATTTCCATACATAAATCCATTCATTAGTGTAGAGTGTGCATGTATATCAATGAAGAAATTCACATCAATGAACTAGGTAAAGATTAAGATAAATTCAAACACAAAACTATAAACTATTAATCTTTTCATATGAAATACGTTTTTATCATATGCTAATATCAGATGAGAAACCATTTAAAACTATGCGGTAATAAACCCTAAAGTCAATGGTTACAATCTATATATGGCCACAGATGAAAACTGATGAAAAGTACTAAAGAAGAACAAAACAAATGTCTAGCTTTTTCTACTTTTCGATGATTCCCCAGGTTGTGCTAGCCTATGAAGAAAACCAATCGAAAATAGACTTACTTCATTTTATTTTGTTTAAAATGGATGGAAGAAATTAATAGAAAACCTTGAGCCTAAGTTTCCTGTTATTGTATATGAAACAAACGGATAATGAGCTAGCTTTAGCCTCATTTCTGAAGTTACAAAGTTGTGCTTATCACAAGACAACATTGAATGAACATAGTACACTAGAATAAGTTAACAATTATTTCTCGAATGTACAAACAGTCCTTTATAAACTTGAACAAGGAAACTTTTAATGTTTCATGACGGGTAAATTAACTTGTGGATTTCGTTGTACAAACAGTAATTTTCCCAAATAAATATTGAAACATTGTTTACTTAATCATCTTATTATCAATATGTGTAATAAATGAATTGTTCAGAATAATAATTTACTAACACTTGTAATTCGTTTGATTACTGAACCTTATCAAAATCAATGTTCAGGAAAGTTTTAATTAACCTTGAAAACTTAAACCTAATCAAAACATTCTCTCAAGCAATTAAGATGCATAAAGGATGATAAAAAAACACTGATTTTACAATTTGTTTGATAGATTACGAAGTTTCAAGTATAAAAAGCAGAACAAATAGCGTTCATAATTTGTTTTATAGAGTATTTACAAGTATACACAAGTCTTTATTAATCTAGTAATTTGTTCCAGTCAGTCAGCTACAACATAGGAACAGGCACATATATGCATTGGTTCAAGTTGCCACACCTCATTAGCACTATAAGATGAACACCAAATTCATAAAAGTAGTCACTTTAATGGTAGTAATATGTAAAAGAAAGACCGCATAAAAGGATATCATACAAGAAGAAATAATTAGTTGGTAGAAAGAAAGATATAAAGCAATTTTAATCTTAAGGTTTAAGGGAAGATAAAGAGTGTATACACCTACGCCATTGTGATCGATTATGAGCCATGTCACACAAAGTCTTCAACCGTTGGTTACGATAGTCACGCGGACCCCAACTAAGTAGTCTGCATCCATCAACATGGCTCACACCAGAAGTTAGCGACTTCAAGGACTGATGCCACCTTGTGATTTGCCGCCCTCAACTTTCTTCCAATCATCCCCAACACTAGTCAGCATTGCGCGTCGTGATAAACGGTGTTCAGGCATACGTAACACGTGGACCAACCATCTCAGTCGGTGAAAATTCATGACCTCGTCAACTGATTTACCACCATTTCCTAATACCCTGCGTCTAACCTCATTAATAATTACCCGGTGATTCCAGCAGATGCAAGCAATATGTCTAAGACATCTGTTATCAAATGCTAGTAACTTACATGTATCTTTTACTCTTAATGACCACGTTTCGCAGCCATAGAGTAAAACAAAATGAACTGCTGCGCAGTATACTTGTCCCTTAATTGGTAGACGGACATCTCGTCTTCGCCATAGGTGACGTAAGTTGACAAAAGCCAAACGAGCTTTTACTCTTAATGATCATGTTTCGTAGTTTGTTTACTTTTGAAAAAATGTCCTTAATATAAATTAGGCAAGTACAAAAGTTTTTAAAAAGGTTTATAACTTACTGGATTATTGTCCAAATTCATTAACAACTGTTTCGTCGCATAAATAGTAGGATGTGCCCATAAGGATGGAGACTGCCATTGTCTATTTAAATCAAATCCCATTAAAGATGATCTAAAGATACCGAGAATTAAACTGTTTCTTAGACTATGAACAAAACCATTTTAAGACATTGTTATCGTCATTTTTTATCGTATCTGTCTACGATGGTGGAGTATTGTACACGTTTTATAGTTGTTGTAGTATACAGAAAAAAGGAGACTAAAATTAAAATGTGAACCACATGCAACTATCATTAATCATAATTAAAATTAGATATTCGCTATAATTAATATTAGGAACAATGATCCAACTCATAGTTATTAACTGATTTCAGGACATTAAAATAAGATTGATTACGATTATAAGTTGTAAATTCATTAATTATAGATCTACATTTGTAAATTCGTTGGTAAAGCTTCAATGTAGTACAAATGTAATGTTTGTAAACGCTGGTAAATGAGAATAAAAATGTCATGGTGCAACATAGACGTACATCTTAGATTTTTACTAAAAAACTTCAATATTTTACCTTATTGCTCTAACTCAACATAACCTACTCATTCTTCCACTGATTCTTTTTGTAAAACACCTGTTTTATTTATATTTTTTAAATTCGTTTATAAATTACATTGAAGGAATACTATGATAAATTTTGTGTTGAATCGAATACGTATCCATTATTGGTGAGTTTATCATAAATTCCTCTTCACAGACCTCCAGAAGTACTTTTTATCACAAACTAGCACCAGTCAGAGTCAAACAAGTCAGAGATGTAACAGTTACTCAACAATGGCATTGGGTAGGAATCGCAAGGAAATATATCATAGATTTATCGGACCTGAATATTCACATCACTTGCTTCCAACTTATTGACTCCGTGGTCAAGCAATAATAATCATGAAACCCAATTTCAAATTTATATTGGGTTGTAGATGCACGGTGGTAAGCACCCCCGCCCATAAAAAATTAGGGCTGATGAGGTTTATAGTGCTCCTTGATTTTAGGTAGTTCTTGAAATCATACCTGTTTGTGATTTAAATTTTCTTCAAAATACACAAAACTCTCTAAAACAACCACTTAGTTTTGAAGTGTCTCTTTAACCAAAAATTCAGTTGTAACAAAAAATCGAAACATAAACAGTTGTTTCACTTAAGTTTACTTTCAGTCTTGGGATTTTAAGGAAAAAAATATTTATTCGTAACTAGTATATTTTAGTAATAAGTAGTGATTAGATATTTTCATACCTAATTCAACATTTCTAGAAAATATTGTTATTATGTGGATTATACGAAACTTATGTCAGTTTGTTTCTCCTTGTTTTATTAGTATTACTGAGGTTTTTATTTTGACTCTATTCAACAAATGCCTTTCGCCTTTAATGTTGATCCTTTTTCAAATTTGTTTTGCTAATTCTTATTATATCTAGGTAATTGACGTGAACCGCAAAACAAGAAGCCTTTACAAATTACGGAAGCTATTTTTGGGGACGTTAATTCATTTAATTCAAAGCTTGTAAAACTGTAACATTTACTTTTGTCCCTAGCCTATTCTACATATCATAAGCTTTCGTTTGATGTATAATTCACTGCCATAGCATTTTCTGTTCTAAAGCTATTGTCATTTAGACGTAATCTTTTGTACCCTATTTTCTACTATAATCCCCCAGTTTTGGACATAATTGTATTTTTCTGATTATTGAACGTTGTGGTCAGGTTAGTCATCTATTTATTCATGTATCTTTTTACACTAATCTGAATTTGGGTACCAGATCGGGATAGGAATAAAGCGAGTAGTGTCCCAGTTGTCTTGTCTTCTCTCTCGCGCGTACCTGTCAGCCAATCAGGTGATAGAACAGTTTTCTTCTTTTTACCCCACTTCGAACTCACGCATACTAGCCTCATGGTTAAGCCAGTCATCCTATCGCGTCAAGGTCTTAATCTACATTAGACAAGTTATACTCGATACGAAAGTGGGTAGACAGATCAAGGACGCAACAGCAATAAATACTGAACTAGAGTTTATCCATTTTGCGTTTATGTAATCAGTTACAAAAAGGTCTTACGGAAAGACATTTGAAAGGTAAGCAAAAATTAATTATTGTAAAACTAAACAGAACAATATTATTTTGCTGAAATTTAAAATATGTTCTATCAACAAACTTACTGCAAAGTGTATTATTAGAGATGAAATCGTAAAAGATACTGTTAGTAATGCGACAAACAAAGAAGAACTTACCTATAATTTCCTAAATAAACACCATCTGGATTTAACATCGGAACAATTTTAAAAATTAAACGTTCACGTAATTGTTGAGCTATTGAATGATCACTAACCATGAAATCAATAAATCCTATAATATTTTGACGAGAAATACAAATATATCTATACTGAGATCATCTTTCACTACAACAAAATAATTCATTTTTGATGTAAAAAGAAAGCAAGCATCTAATACAGCGAATATGTACATGTCTACCTGAAAGGTGGTAAGTTAAATCTATTGTATAAGGACTAGTAAAATCCTAAGCTTCTGACTAGTAAAATAAATGAAGTGGGCTAAAGCTGTCTAACTTTAAGTTTATCAATCAGTTACACATGACTCAAAAGAGATTTCCCACTAATTATTACCTCTGAAAGCCTATAAATTACGTTCAATTAGATTCATCAAGTGAAAACTAAGTTACAGAGATGGACAACAGATTGTGAGATATAGCGTGTTTTAGCAATAATTATAATTTATAGACCAAGCATTTCAAATTTAAGAAATGCTCTTCGAAAAAGGTAAATATTGTCTATGGGAATATTTTGATACAGTGAATTATTGGGTTATATAATACGGAGCCTAGTTTTTTGAGCACACCAAATACGGACGCAGATAAGGTGCATTCATTTCACCAAACAGTCTATAGTGGTATTGATACGCGTATCATACGAAACCCAACTGAAGAGGCATAGGGAAATCTCAGTTTTGTTTTGGAAAACTGGCGTACTACTTCTGACGCCATGAGATATATGCGACCACATACAGAATACGAAACGATTTAATTCTCATTCCCTCAAATACCTTTATTTTGTTTTTATTTGCGTTAATCCAACTAAGTTTTTTATACAATATCGGTGGTTACAATATTTATCTCAATGCTAAGCACAAGTGACTTAATCGTACATTAAACAACTGTTCCCATAACAGAAGGTAACCATGTGAAATAACCGATATGTAATCTATCCGTAAAAAAATTGTAACCTTAAGTTTGAATGAGGATATTTGGTTTCGCTAACACTCCATTGATAGCGTTTTCAGAATGAGTGGATTATGGCTGACAGCAGGATTTAGGAAGCGCGTTTTGTCCAATTTGAAGCGTGTTAGATGGATGTATCTGCATTTCAGTGTTGATATTCACACTGAATATAGAATTCAGTAATTTTCGTTACAGGGATCAAAATAAGATCTTGAATATCAACAACGGGATAACTCAAGATTTTTATAGTAATAATTCAACAAGTATTGTTTTCTGTCTATTCTTTTATTTATTTATTTAATACCATACCTTAGTCATCGATCTGCTAATTTTATTGAGATTTCTAGCATCACTATGCTAGAGTTATTGTATGAGTTTGAGAATATTTGAGAGATTGATGTTGATAAAACAGAAACATAGCTTCTCTACTAAATCGCATTGGAGGTGGATTCAAGTTTACGTGGTAATCGGTAACTTTTGCAAGAAATAACTATGATTTTGACGAAACTCTGCTTCAATTACCAGCTTTCAAAAGGAAATGGTAACATTTGAACTAATGCAGGTATTTGTGAAATCTTAGCCTATATTATTCACCATTGAGTCATTAAAGAGTAACTACCTGTTTTTAAGTGTTTCTTTGCACAAAATGAGCAAGATCCTAATACGGTTTAAAGACCAGATAGTTTGACAATTGTCGTTCTGAAGTTACCAATTAATTTTATTGAAATTTATTGATGCCATTTGAACAAGTTAAAGATTTCATCTAAGTGAATTCCTAACTAGCGTAATTAAATCTAATATCAATGAAACCTAACTTTGAAGAATACACTTTATACGTCAAACAGGTAACCAATATCAATTCGGATTCTAACCAAAATAAACCATACAGTCTTTTTAACAGTACATGAGAATGCCTCAACTAAAAACAGTACATCTAATTACCTTGGCAAACGTAAGATGATGGTGTCTCACCCGGATGAACACGAGCAGTCACAAATATCACACGTTTTTTATTAGCCGTTTCGTTGAGATTACTAGGATGAGTAATTGTTATAAGATCTAGACGTCTTTGTTGCTTGTAAAGTGGAAAAAAGTTGCGGATATTAACATAAGGAGTTAAAATCATATTTTATGGTATATATATATATATAATTAGTAAATATTCCTGACTTAAACACAAGTGACTCTGCTGGAGTTCGATTAGTTGCATTGTATTGATAACAAATGACAACTTACTCGATCAACTTTATATAAAATTGAATCTCATCAGTGGCAATTTAACCAGGTGAAAAATACTAGGTTTGTTTGGGAAGCTTTAAATACAGATAATTAATCAGCAATTGGGGTTGTGGGCTGATAATGACCAGTTTACAGTATACATGTCACCAATGGACTCCACCATAATTAAAACTTATTTTGCCACTTCTAGTCTAATACTAATTAAAATAGAAAGTGCTGTATGGAACAAATCGATCTTTTACACCAACCTAGGGTGTTATAAAAAAGTGTTACATTATATTGTGATAACCAGCTAGAAGCCAGTCAGTTGCATTATTCTGTGTCATTACAGTACGACGCGTTTAATTCCTCGCTAATGAAAGATTATGAATGAATGAACAGCACAAAAAGATAAATGGTGTTGTAGAGATATGTAGGGCAGTACATCAATCTCATAATGATAAAGGTGGTAAAAAACAATTGACAAGGAGTTCTGCTCTTCTTATCTTTAAAGCTAATCTAACTATTTACTTATAATATAGAAGACTACAAGACAGTGACCACTAGTCTTGATCTTGATCCCAATATTTTCTTCGCAAGGTTACTGAAAAGCAAATAAAGTTTCAACAAGGAGATGTTGGATATGAGAAATATAAAGGCGAAAAGATGACAAATAAATGGATTAGGATGAAGAAATTAATTTTTTATTTTGATCGCAAAATATAATAAAATATCACGCGGAACATTATAAGTAATTTTAAAGAATCACTTGGAAAAGTACATAAAGTTCGCTCTTCCATCGTATGGATTAACTTTCCCATTTGATCTTAACGTGCGAACTCTCAATATTTATACTATTGGATAAAAGCTTAATGCACAATGCTCTATTCGGAATTTCGCACAAATTGAATTTGTTTGACATTTGAATTCACGGTATTTCCAAATAACTGTTGGGTTCAGAAAAAAACCTGTCTCTCATCATAATGAAAAATAATGACTTGTTGAAGAGAACTGATACCTGGTGAACAAAAGTGGGTCTTAGTGTTTGGTCAATCTATATGAGGATAACATACTGAAAATAAAGCAACTAGTGTGATGTTGAGACAGTTAATATTTCTGATATTTTAATTTTAAACAAAATCTCTCCCTAAATTTATAGCTGGTATAAAAGCATCCATGGTGATTTCATACTAAATGTGCATTATACAAGTATGATTTTAATTAATATGGAAGCCTAATATATATTGGATTTCACTAAAAAGCCCGTTCGAAGTGTTGGATATTTAAGGTTTTTCAATTTTATTCGGAATGAAAATTGTCTCATTTAACCAACTACTTATGATAAAACGTAATTGTTTCATTTAAATGAATAACTCACACTTTGGTAACCAAAAATTACTTATTTTCCTTTATGAGTTTACTATGGATGTAGAATTTTCTACTTAACAGGTTTCTAGGAAAAATGGGTAGTGATGTAAACAGTATTTATTTCTTTATAGACTTTCTTTTTCAATAACAATCAAATTAGCAGACAAACATTCATCAGGAAAACACGATATTTAAACTGAGCCAGAAGTGTATAAAGTACTACCATTAGAATGACCAACAGTAAGTGCTTACAGGTTTTAGTGTGTACAACACCTTTCTTTCAGTAAAATGTTCAACACAGGACTTTTAGGAAAATTTTACTTTAGAATATCATGTTTTTAATTGTCGCTGAGAAGCAAAATAGCCAAATCAAAGCATTGACACGATTACCAAGGTGTGAGTATTTGATTTACATGGAAGAATTAAGTAGAAATATCACTTCGTCGTTATTCGGGAGAGATTTAATAGTATTTTATTATTCTTACTACTTCACCTAAACTACTGTGTGATTGCAATTCTACTTACGGAAAACGACTTAGTTGTACTGTAGCTTAATGGTGTAACCATTATCAAACAGACCTATTTTATTAACGACGTACAAGTAAAATCACGATTTCATCTTTAGTCGAAAGTTGCCCTTTTAAAATCAACCTCTTGTTACTTAAGAATACCAAAAATTTTCACATCATCATATCGAAACACATAAATGCAACTAACAGGGAAATAAGATGTAGTGGTAACCAAGCAACAAAAACTCTGAATCTAGTATTATCTCTGAAAAATTACTCATTAAAATAACAACACATATTGAAAAGCTCTAAAGACAGTATGGTAAATGGGTGGTAAGACAGTAAGGTTGCATCAGGTTTACTATGTTCATATGTAGCAAATCTTAAGGAAAAAATATATGTGACGGGCCAGTTTGCGGAAATTCAGCAAAATATACTGCGAGTTAGTTTAGAACTAGTTAGTTTTATCGCGTAAAAAATAAGTGTACATACTATTGTGAGGCCCAAAAGTTCTCTCTTGAAATGGGTATACTGTTTAGTTTCTAGTATTCCTAAGTACGTCTGTAGTCTGCTATAAGTATACGGATAACAGTACGCGAATTGATAGACATCCTCCTCACAATCAAAAGAAAATGCAAAAGACATAACGTATTTTTTCTTTTGCTCAGGTGACTTGTAGTAGAAAACACATTTTTGTGGAATGCGAGACCTGAGTTAGGTATATAATGGAATAAAAATACCTACCAGGAAGGACGGCTTGATGATTTAACAACTGGGGACATACCTTCTCGATACAAAGACTTTGTCTTACTAAAATTTACAATATTAAAAATTACTCTCTGGTTATTATTGAGAGACTGTAAATATTACCTGTTCATGTTTAGTGTTTTCTACTGTGAAATTAAACCATACTCTGAATCGTGCATTACATGTATCCGGACGTATAAATAGGTTATACTCATACTCATTGACGTACACAACCTTTCCAAGATTTCCTTATCGGTAATTAGGGAAGGTAAATAAAGTACCGCTTTCAAAAGATGCATCGAATATAAGATGACCTTTTTGTAATTTTCCAGTGTATCCAGAAGATATAGCTAACGATTTACTCACATTCCCTACAACACTGTCGCTGATTCCATCAGAATCACTTCCTGCAGATTCATTTTGGTCTACAAAAGTACCTCTAAATAAATCTTTGTAAAAGATGTCTTTCTTGTCGTCATCTGACATAATAGTTACATTAACGACGAAAACATAAAATAGAAAAGACAAACAATTTTCGGAGCCAATCTTCAAAACCCAATAGTTAGTGTTCAAATGGTTCAAATGGTTGAGGACGGAATAGAAAAAGCTTTCGCTTAACGGGCTTTCGTGTCTGGTAGCAGTGGATCACCAATACCTCCAGGCAAGAACCTAGGTATATGAACGATAATAGAGGGAAAAAAGAATTTGGTAAATCATAATAATATGTTATCCTTAGTCCTTAAGAATAAGTCAAGTTTTCTCTTAAAGGACTCCTGGGAGGTCGCTTGGACTAACTCAGTCGGCAGCGAATTCCAGCACTTGACAACTCTAACGGAGTAGAAGTTGTGTCTGCAGTCTGTGCTGCTATGTAGGGTCTCCAATTTCTAAGTGTTACCTCTGAGGTTACTGTTATGAATAAGCTTAAGAAGATGTTTAAGGGGATGACCAGAAGTATTAAGGATACTATAAGTCATAAGAAGATCACCTCTAAGACGCCTATACTCTAACGGGTAAAGGTTAAGTGATTTGAGGCGCTCTTCATAAGGTTTGAATTTGAGTCCCCGAACTGATTTCCTGGCTCGACGTTGTATACGTTCCAGAGTGACCTTATCCTTTTGGAGGGAGGGAGGAAGTACTATGTTTCCGTACTCTAAGTGGGGACGAATAAAACTGTTGAAGATTATATGGAAGGTTCTACCGTCAAACTGGCCAAAAATGCGCTTCAATGTTACCAGTGCAAGGTTTGCTTGAGAGGCGTTTTTGTCACAGTTCGCATACGACTTCAGGTCGTAGGGTACCAACACTCCTAAATCTTTTTCAACTTGAGAAACTTCTAGAGGTGAGTTACCTAAGTTATAACTATAGTCTGCAACATGTCTCAGATGGACTACCTTGCACTTTGAAGTGTTAGAGGTAAGTCCGTTGTCGTCTGCCAAACTTTGAAGTCGAGTCAGATCCTCCTGAAGAACTAGTATATCATTATGATTACGTATCTCTCTCCAAAGTTTCACATCATCAGCAAAAAGCAATAAGTCAGATGAAACTTGTTGAGGAAGATCGTTAATATAAATCAAGAAGAGAAGAGGTTCTAGTATTGAACCCTGGGGGACCCCACTAGGACATTCCATAGCCTGAGAGAAAGTGAAGTTAACCCTGACCTTAAAGTGTCGGTTTTCTAAATATGAAGAGAGCCAATCAATTAAAGGGGGTTTTATACCCAATCGTCCAAGCTTCTTGATAAGACATGCATGGTTGACCCTATCAAAAGCTTTTGAGAAGTCCAGGTAGATGACGTCAACCTTCCCCTTGCGATCAAGGATGGTAGTCCATCTATCCACCGCAGTCAGCAGGTTGGTCATACAAGAATGACCTTTTCTGAAACCATGCTGTTGAGGCGAGAAGAACTTTGAGGATGATAAGTGTTCTAGTATACCGTCGAATACTAGGGATTCCATAATTTTGGAAGGTATGGAGAGAAGGGCCACTGGTCGGTAGCTTGAGGGTTCACTGCGTCGACCTCCTTTGAAAATTGGTGTGATGTGGGCCAGCTTCCATATTTCTGGTAGTTTGCCTCTGCTTAGCGAGTGTGCAAACATCACGCTAACTGGTGTCGCCAGGATTGAAGCTGCTTCCCTCAATACAGCGGAATGAACCATGCCCGGACCGGGAGAAGTGTCCTTTCTTAGGTTCTGCAGTTTACGGAGCACCAGGTCAACACTCAGGTCCACTTCGGAAAGTCCTGTACAGGTGCAGGTGAAGCTTTCGTCAGTATGGTTGATGTGGGTCAGCTGGAATGTCCGGGAGTAATGTTCAGCCAAAAGGTTAGCGGCATCACTGTCGTTGTTGGTTGGGCCATTAGGACCAAGCAGTTGGGAAACTCCAGTTTTGCCTTGTCGAAGAGAAGCTGCATAACTGAACAAGCTTTTCGGATTGGAGACGAATCTATCGATAAGCTTGGTCTGGAACTGAAGCCTGTCTTCTCTTATTGCCTTTGTGCACATGTTCCTTATATGTTTGTATTGCCTGTACGAGCCGTTGTTATCAGTTCATTTATATTCAGCCCGACAGTGCCTTTTGCGGCTTAGCAAACGACGAGTGCGGTTCTTGATGATTGGGGGTTGCTTGTAGCTTTTTGGGACCATTTGAGGAACTGAATGCTCAGTAGCACATAAGATCGTGTGCAGTAAAAAATCTCAATGAGCATCCACTTCAAGTTGAGGGTGAACATCCCAATCCACCTGTTGTAGATAGTCCTGTAAAGCCAACACATTCAACCGTTTGAAGTTCCAGCGCTTGTTGCTAGTAGGATATCGTAGCTCCGTTTTGCTGACAAAGCTGAATGATAAGACGGCGTGATCACTTTTCCCCAGGGGAGCCAGGATTAAGAGGTCGTCAACTAGGAATTCTTCACTTGTGAATACCCAGTCTAAGCGTGACGGCGTCTGACTGTTTCTCCAACCGGTTGCCGACTTCACATTTTCAAATAATCCCAGGTCGCCGATAAGGTTGAAGAACAGAGCTTCGGTAGAGTTGGCACCACCAATGTATGTATGTTCCACGAAGTTGATTCTAGGGAGATTGAAATCCCCTAGAATCAGGATATGAGAGAATCCGAGACGCGTAGAGCGAGATAATCCTTCCAGCAGACGTTTGTCATATTCGATGTCGGCAGTGGGCTTCCTGTAAACGACCCCAACTAGGCACCTCGAGGTGGTAGATAATCTTACTGAGCACCATACTGACTCGTCAAGATTGTGAAACTCTTGGTTGTGAAGTTGGTGCGCATCCAGGCATGACCGTATGTATAGTGCTACCCCACCCCCCATTCCTGTTTTCCTGTCGTTGCGAAATAAAGACATCCCAGTTATCGATAACTCTTGGTCCGTAAACTGAGACGTTATCCAAGTTTCGGATATTCCTATCAGATGGGCATCATTAGTGTTGCTAAGTTCACGTAGCTCATCCATTTTGTTTGGCAAGCTCGCAGCGTTCGTGTATAGGCAGTTTATGCTTTCAATTTGGAACGCGTGAGCCTCTTCTTGTTTGTCTTTATGAGCCGTGTGTGGGTGGACAGGTAGCCTACCTATACGATGTTTACCGAGTTGGTAGTCCCTGTCCTTTACACGTTTTTTTATGATCAAGACAGTCCACGAGTGGAATTGTCAGCTCCACCTTTCGTTTGTGCTTGATCCTGCTGTCGTGGGGCCTATCCGGATGCATATGGATGCCAGTTGGCAACCGACGTCTATTGGCACGAAATGCTTCCAGAGTTGCAGCCGCCATGTGGGAGGAGGGAAAGGTTATCTTCCATAGCCGGGGCCTAGAGTCTCCGTCTCTCTTGGCCAGTATCATTACCTGTTGGGTTAATATGTTCTTGAGTTTTAAGGAATGCTTGATGAATTTCCATTCCCGAATATCAGAGTTTGCTTGAGTTGGGTCCATATTTTCCGGCACACCTTGCACAATGATATTTCGTCCACAGAAAAACGCCTCGCGAGATTCCTTAGGGATGTTCCGGATGAGATTTCGTTCAGAATACGGTATGTCGGGCAGTATTCTTACGTTCCCATCGGACTTCAGTAAGTGACTGGCTAGCAGGACGTCCTCTACGTCGGAGGCATTCTTAAGTGTAACACGAAGCAGCCTCGGGTGGTTTAGGTGGTTAGAGTCATTCTCCCGAGTGAGCCGTGTGACGGTCAAAGGCTCTATTCTAGGGAGTTCAAGCCTCTTGTTTAATTCTCCCCAGAGCATCCTATCGTTTTTGTCCTGCAAACTGAGAGGAAGGTCGGGGTTGTCAATAAGGTTCATGATTATGACAGAGTCGTCACGAACCGTAATTGATTTCCCAGGTTTTCCAGGGCGTCTAGGTTTGGTATCTTGTTGTTTGGATGTCGAGGCGCGTTTTCGATTCCTGGGCTCAGTGATGACCGGGCGGACAGTCTTGGGTGTAGACTGTGCGGCCAAAGCATCAATTGATTTATGCACGATACTTGGGACGTTCAGTTTCGGAGGGGACGCTTGGGCTTTATTACTCTTGTTAACGTGAGTCCATCCACCTACAGGATTTTTGGGAACCACTGTCTCATTCAAGGACCGTTCCCCAGGGGACCCAAGTTTACTGAGGGAGTCGATGACAGTCGATGTTAAGATGGTGCTGAGTTTCAGCACATCATCACTCGTGCTGTTAACAGCACCGTCGATAACCGACCTGTCAGTATCCTTTTTCTTATTTGCGTTATGCGTTCCAGCTTTGTTACCCGTCATGATGCTATCATTTACCGAATTCTTAGACAACTTATCTCTCAGACCTGTCAGTAAAGTAATGATAGTACCCAACATAACTACCGTATCGGTGTTGCAGGTAACACTTACCCACCTACGATCAGACTTGCTGAGTCTGTTATAGGCTGCTGCTGTTAGATCTGTACATGCCTCATGGAACCAACCTTTACAGTTGTCACATTGCATGCCAGATGTAACGGCAAAACAGCAACCAGGTCTCTTGCATGAATTTTTCATGGCTAGTGATTTAGACTGTCTTAAAAATACAAGCAGTAAATTTAGGACCGTTAAAAAAAACACACAGTAAGCAAAAACTGTCAAAAATGTATAAAAACAGTTAACGATAAGCTAAAGCTAGTCTTTACGTGAAATCTATAAAAAAAACCTATAGTGAGCTGAGGAAAAACCACAGTTAATTATTAATTTGAGTGAAACACAAAAAAAAAAGAAGTAATCTACCGAACGTATAGCTCAGAATAGATTCTTTGGATTGGAAATGATACTTTTGTTGCGTAAGAACACAGCAAAAGTTTGAGAAATGTAAATCACGTTTGGACTAAACTTCCTGTCCGTGTTCAATCACAATAACAAGATGACAAGAGTAGAAAAAAGGGAGGCAAAACATTTCCAAGTAATGAATTTGCAGAATAAAACCTAAATGGTAATGATGACAAATCAATTAGACTTTGAATGTGAGTAAACAATTATTGATGTTC